CTGAAACACGAGCAATTAATTTCATCTTAGTTCGACTGGCCTGGAAATGTAAACGTCTGAACTCCTCGGCCGTGTGTCAGCGCCTGGAGTTACAGGGACCCTGCAGACACCCCCAGGAGCCTCCGGAGGAGCGTGCATGGGCCCAGACCGTGGACACCTGGAAGGGCGCGGAGACCGCGTTCCCGAGCGCTAAACACTGGGAACAACCCCAATGTCCACATAACAGGGGAGCGGGCTAACAAATGGCAGCAGCTTCTGCTCCGGAATGTGCTTTTTACCGTAAAAACGCTCCAGGGCTGCAATTCATTTAGGACCCTCGAATAAAACTTGTCATTTAATCCTAGTGAAGCCTGCTGATTCATTTATGCTTAGCTGATGGGTGCTGCCCGCACACTATGGCTACTGTTTTACAGCAAACTGTTGTTATTTTAAGTAGAAAGCATACGTTCTACAATAATGATTCAAAGTACAGTGGTGTATCATCATCAGCACCACACGCTGCACGTGACTGTACGGGCCGCGCTTTCATACAACTGACAGCACAGAGGGCTTGTTTACACCAGCGTCACCACAAACAGGGGACCAGCGCGTTGCACTATGACCTTTTGACGATGACGACACTAGGCAACAGAAAATCTCAGCTCCGTTACACTCGCATGGGATCACTGTCATTTACACTGAAATGCTCTTATGCAGTGCACGACCACACTTTACACAGAGCAGCCTGGCTAAAGACATATCTAATATATATTTTTAAAGATTTTATTTATTTTTAGACAGAGGGGAAGGGATGGAGAAAAACATCAATGTATGGTTGCCTATCGCATGCGCCCTACTGGGGACCCGGCCTGCAACCCAGGCATGTGCCCGGACTGGGAACTGAACCGGCGACCCTTTGGTTCACAGGCTGGCACTCAGTCCATTGAGCCACACCAGCCAGGGCTCATATCTAATATTTAAAATCCCAGTAAGATACTATCCCATAGATATCTCTCATATAATTTAACTCTTAGGAATTTCTTTCAGCCTTAGTTGAAAAGAGCCTAAATTACTTCCTAAAATGATAGCAGAAAAAATATATAATTGACGACCAGAAGATAAGGGCTCTAGTTCTAGTTTGGCCAAACTAGCTGTCAAAACTTGTACAAATCATTTAACCTCTGTAAATCTCATCTCCTATCCACCACGGGAACTGGATAATCTCTAAGGATCCTTCAAGCTCTAAGATTTTATTAATTTTATAGACAGGCAAATAAGATGCCATGTTTTATAAAACATTGTGCTGAGCATGCCGACGAGGCTTTCACCTATTGCCTTTAAGAGTAACTCACACACTCGAAATAATAGTTTGCTTTATATGAACATGAACACATGGAAATTCAAGGAATCTGGCCAATTTCAATATGCAAACATCAGTCAAGAAAACACAGACCCGCCGCTCTGTAAATATTATCCGCTGCTTACCGCGCTGAGGCCCTCAGAGACAAGCAGACAGCGCCCAGCACCCAGCCGCCTCCACTCCGCAGAGGCACCCTGACCTGGTGGCGGGCGGGGGTGCAGTTTCTGTCTGCATCGGACCCCAAAACCGGGAAGGCGAACCTTAGAACTTGGCGTCACTGCTCTCGTTCAGTGAGGAGAGGCCTCAGGAAAGGGAAGCCGACTGAGCCTTGCCGGCAGCCCAGCACACGCAGAGATGGGGACCCAGAAACCTCGGCGGGCCTTTGAAGGATGCGGCTTCAGCTGATCGACGTGAGCAGACGCGCACAGAGGTTTTCTTAAGATGAACACGTGCAAAGTGAAGGCACGGCCAGTTGAATACCGGACCGCAAAATGTATGGTTCTTTCCAGCAAGATTAGGTAACTAATTAAAATGTATGAATTTATAAAAGTACACGGCCTAAAATCATAAACCATTATTTATATGGAGTTTGAGCCATACTGGGTCATTAATATACTCACTTTCATACATTAAATAATTTACTTTGACCTTTTTATGTGAAAACTTTCCGATTTTATGAACTTCAGAAAATCTGGCTAAAATCACCGAATTCAATTCACTCCATCCGCACTTATGAGTAGTAGTATAGTTAATCCTAAAACACAACAACAGCAACAACAAATAAAAAAACATTAAATCCATTAAAAACCCATTGGACAACATGGAACATTCAGGCTCACAAAACCATCACATCATGTAAAACTACTGTCTGCGACCCAACTCAGGGCAGCGTCCCAAACGAAGGGCAAAGCAAACCCGGGGAACCCCAGCAGCGGCGCGCCAGGGTCTCGTGAAGGTGAATGGGCCAGTGAGCTCAGCTGGCTCTCCCTTCAGTCACCAGGGCAAGGGCAAGGTTCCAGGGGGATTCACGAGGGACTACCCGTGCGCGGACGAACCCACGCGGAGGCCCTCACGCTGCCTCCTGCGGCCCAGGGCCAGAACCAAGCTGCTGGACACGGCCACGCATGCAAGGAGGGCCCGTGTCTCGCAGCAGACCACGCTCGCTGCCCGCACCGAGACTGCGGCCCTGGCGCGGTCCGCCACAGGGGAACGAGGGAAGTCGACAGAGCAACGGCGCCTGCGGCGCTGGCTCAGGACTCGCAGCCGCTGGCGGGCGCAGGACAGCAAGCAGAGTGGCCGGAGGGGAGCCGCCCCAGGAAGGGGGGCAAACCTGGGGCAGGGCGGGGCGCCCTCTGCCGCGGGGGCAGCAGGGCTCCCACCCGACGTCGGGGCGGGGTGCTGGGCTACCTGCTGGTGGCACCGCGTTTCTAACAAAATCGCCCCACCGGCGTGAGTCTTAAAGCAATAAAATGACCTCCCCGAAGAAATCACACGCTGGGATTTGAAAAAACAATCAGGGATAAAACTGCATTTTATTTGTAAGATTCCGGGGCGGGAATGAATGGGAAGCACACTAAATGGGAACAAACTCATCACAAAAGAAATTTCTAGCGAGATTTGATCTGCATTCGTCTTTTGAAAGAAGATTCATTGTCCAAGTTCAAAGGTTACTGCAGAAACAAACAGCTTCTTAACCAGACTTAACGCCCCGCGAGGACCCGTCAGCCTGGGGCCCGTGCCCAGCGCTGGGGGCCGGCGCGGCAGAGCACACGCAAGGGCTACGCCTGTGACCCGCCCGGGGGGGCAGGGGGCCAGCGCGGCCCGGCCCCGCCGAGTCACTTATGCCCACACGGGCCCGGACGCGGGATCGACAGCCGCCAGGTCAGAGATCTGGAGCCGCCGGCCCGCACGCAGCTCATCTTCACGTGAGCTGTGGTAATGGAGAGGCTGAGAAAACAGTAAATGAAAGAACTACCTAGCTGCCCTCTTAGATTATTTATAGTTCAAAAAAGCTTTTTTTGTTTTTTTGTTTAGAGGGACATTATAATCGTACTTATGATCTGTTCTAAGGCTGGCTTTGGTTAGTACAGTCGCTGACAAATTGTACCCAAAGGAGCAGTATTTTAGGGGAGACAAAAGGAGAAGATAGAAGCCCAGGAGAGTCTGGAGTCAGCGGTGAGAACACCGATCAGAGCAGTGAGAGAAAATAATAGCTGCGGAAGGTGAGGGGACAATGTAACTCATGATCAGGACACAGCCATTAGCAACCGTCACTATTTGAAGAGAAGTAACTCTGATGACAATGACAACGGGACATCGCTGGTACCAAATCAGGCTGTAAAAACTTCTCACAATGGTATTTTGTAAAGAGAGGAAATAGATGATCCAGAGCAATAATTCTGTACTTTTAAATGATCATTAAGCTGTTTCTTATTCAAGATCATAATTCAAATGCAGCCCTGTATGACGTCCCTGTCACCCTGTGAGAAGTGTAGGAACCCACGCCGCTCTGAGAGTGCAGAGCAAGCGTGTCCTTTCTGTGCTGCGGACTCCGCTTGGGCGCCACCTGGGGGCGGGGGCGCTGGGCACTGTGGGCCTGGCCAGGCCCTCGCGACCCTTCCTCAAGCGGGCGGCCTCAGCAAGCACGAGCCACGGCACACTCGCTCTCTGCCTCAGTTTCTCCACTAAACTAATGCCCACTTACGAAGTTCAAAACGCCATACTAAACATAACCTTTACTTTGAAAACTATAAAATGCCACACAAAAGTGCGGGTAGTGGTTCTACCCGAGATCGCATCTCAGTAAGTCTCCGTGGCGCATGTGTCTGCGTGTGCAACTGTGTGCACATGATGGTCCAACAGAAATAAAAACTCAAAAATAACACAGTGGGCGACCGCTAACCTCTAGTGAGCGCCGCCTGCATGGGAGGCACCGGGCCCTCGTCCTCCCTCGCTGCCTTTCCCGCTGGAAATAGCAGGCACCCGCGGCTTCAAGAAACGAAGGAAGCTGCCCGAACTAAGCAGAGCCACGGCGAGAGCGCGCTCTTGCCTGCTGGGACGCCCTCCCCGGGCCAAGTACAAAATGAGAGGCCTGGGCGGGGGGTGAGGGGGGGCGTCCAGGTCACCGGTCCTCAGCCACCCTGGGGACACCTGAGAGACGGGGAGCGTCACGTGTGTCCCCACCGATGCCCATTAAGACAACGAGCAGCACATTCTGGACTTGGAGAATAAAAAGAAACCCTACAAATTAATATGCAAAGAGGGAAGAAGGAAAAAAACATATCTTTTTGTTATAAATAGCAAGAACAGACAAAGTATAAGCTTTAAAAGAACTCGGTATCCTTTGGTTGTTCTCAATCAGACTGAAGTGATTTATCAGTTTAATCCTTCTTGGGTGGAAATTAAACTAAGGGAAAATTATAAAGCATTGTTTAGAAGGCTAACAAGACATTCTTTAGGCATTCAGATTAAACAAATGCCAATGAGATGCAGATGTAAAACCAGTGATAAAAGAAGAATTTCACAGTGAATAATAAAAAGTAGATTCAGAGGCAGGGTTAGAATCTTTGTTTATAACCATTATTAAAGAAAAAGTCATCTTTATCATAAAAAGTTTGGTACTGCCAAAAAATGTGCCACCCCCCAAATGAAATAAACTTACCTTTGGTTTTTTGATCAGCAGCCTGAAAAAAAAAATTAGAAACTCTTTAGGAATAATGTGTAGAGTGTACACATCTATGAAAGTTTATAAGTAGACTTTAATAGGAAATTTTAAAAACAAGTTTTTGCCCAGTTCTTTTATTAAAGTTTATTGTATTTCTGGAAATAATGTCTAATTGTCTACATGCTATTAACTATGTGCCAATATTGATCTAAAGGCACACAAATCTATCTGGGAGCTCATGTGAGTTCTGTATTTTAATAAAGTCCAAAAGGTATACAGCTTAAACTATAAGATACATTAAACTAGGCAAGAACAAAAACAAATGGCATAACTTGGTATGTTAAATGCCAGAAAATTCAAGCATGACTACAAGGTTAAGGACGTGTAACTTTTAATATTTACTAATAGGTTTGTAAAAGAACATTTGCCAAAGTTGCAAAAATTATTTCTACCTTTTCTAATAAAATCAGTTGAATGGTCCTGTTGTCATTTCTGGGCAGTTTTTACTTAGTAGAATAGTATAAACGTTCTTCACTACCAAAAACGGAAAGTAAACTTTTTAAAAACGCAGCTCTAATATTTTCTAGGTCCTTAAGAAAGAAATTCTGTGGCTGTCACCCTACATTTATGTCACCAGCACAGTATCTATCCTGTGCCAGTTGCAGGTTTAGCAGCCCGCTCATTTTTAAAGGCAGTGGAATGGAATTCTGTCATGTAATGGCCGTGATGATGCAAAGGGGACACGCGACTGGAAAGACAATGAGGCAGCAGCTCTAGCCAAACCTTTTTCTGAGCACCTTCCTTCTTTTTCTTTTCTTCCTGCTTTTTCTTTTTCTTTTCTTCCATCAAATGTTCCTCTTTTTGTGTTTCTTGTTCTTTCTCCCTATTAAATAGATAGAAAAGTGGTATTAGTACAACGTTCATCTTAAATCAAAAATAACACCACGTGACCCTCGGGAACGGTCAGTCGCCAGCGCTTCGCGCGGCGCCGGACGCTCGGAGAAGAGGCGTCGGGGGCGGGCCGGCCCCCGCTGGAGCAGTGCCCGGCGACAGCAAGGAGCCCTGCTCCCCGAGCGCCTCAGCCGGTCCCGCGTTCAGCCCGCACCTGAACGCCAACCCCGCCTCAGGCGAAGGGCCGCAGCGGAGGGGACGCAGCTCCTACCGGCCGCCCCGGGCCAGGCCCCTTCAGGCGGGGTCTCAGGGACCACGGTCTCAGAATCGCGGGGGTGCCTGTGAAACACATAGATTCCGGGGCTCCGCCCCAGCCCCGCCAAATCCCATTCTTTGGAGGTGTGACCCTTTCAACACAGACACCGTGTGCTGCCGGCCTCCCGCGGCTCGTCCCACCCTGACGCCTGTCCCCCGTGGGCCGCCCCCGTGACTGGGCTCTCCGACCCGGGACGCCGTGCGCCCCGTGCCTGCTGCGCGAGCCCCCCACGCCCCGCCACACCTGCGCCCACCGCGCAGGGGCAGCTTCCGGCAAGCAGGGCGAGCCCGTGCAGCCGGCGAGGGGCTGTGCTGGGCGGGGGGCTCGGGCCTGGGCGCGCCAGGGGCTGCAGCTCCCCCTTCCTTCAGCACGCGCGCTCCCGCGGCCCCAGGCCCCGGGCCCCGGCCCCGGGCCCGCCGCAGGGGCCCCGCGCCCCCAGCCGGACCCCGACGGGCACAGGTGGGCGGCGCGCGCGCCGCGGACGCCGCGGGAGGCGCACGTGCCCAAAAACGCAGCGCAGCATTGCTGTCCTCCCCCCAAGGCTGGGTTTGAACGTACTCCTTTGGTACAAAACAGCAGTTTGTTTTTAATGTGTAAACAGGTTTTATATACAACCACACGCATAGGAAATTTCAACCTAGGGTCAGTTATGAGAGTTGAACACTATCATAAGGAAAGCAATTTAAGTCAAGATGGCGGGGCGGGGCGCCGCGAGAGCATTCTCCGCGTAAAACGGCGGCCTCGGGCCCGCGGCGCGTGGAGCGGCCTGGGGAGCCGCGCCAGCTCCCAGCGCCAAGGCTGCCCACGCAGCAGGAGCCCCGTGGGAGCGGGGCTCAGGCATCGGCCGTTTTTCCAGCTCCCAGGTGCCTCCCGTGCTCAGCAGAGGCTGAGAAAGGCTACTTTTAAAAGAGGGCCACATTGATCAAGTTTGGAAAACAGTTATGATTCACAGATGATACTTTCCAGCAATATTTTCCAGTTAAAAGGCGGGGGACACCAAGGAATCTGCATTTACAACACCCTGACAAGGCGCGGCACAGCCCGAGCGGGAGGCGCCGGCGCTGCCCGCCGAGCGCGACTGCAGGCCCGGGGCCGCGGTGCACCCCGCGGCTGGACTCCCCTCATCCACACACCGCAACAGCCTTACGTTAGCTCCGGAGAGGAAACCTAACAAAGCAGGCAAGTGTAGCCGCGTTATTAAAAGACATGCAATACAAGATGGAATAAAAATGGTTTTTGCTTAATTCTATTACTCGGAAAATTAAATTACCTCACGCCAGCTATTCCCCTAGCAGCACCGTTAAGGTTTTACCGTAACAGTGAAATAAAATGTTCCAAATAAAGAGCTCCGGTGGCTGCGAGGACCTGGCGCTCCGGCCAAGGCTCCGCGCCGCCCGCCCGGCCGCCCTCTCTCCCCCTCCTCCTCTCCGCGCAGTTTCTGCCGCTGTTCGTGCGTAACTTTAAAAGCCAACATCAAGCCACATTTCACTGAGTAAAGGAAACACACGCTCCGAGAAAACACCTCTCCAGCATGAAAGCTGCCCGATGCCCAGGCAGACTCGCGTTCCGGGCCCGCGGCCGCGCCGAGGCAGCCGCCCACACCCCGGCCCCGGCCGCGCCCCCGGGCCCCCTAACAGAGCACGTGGGAGCACACCGCGCTCTTCAGCGTTCCTTTCTCCGTTACCTGCGCCACACGCACGGGACACGTCCCCGCGCGCCTCTCCACGCGGGCTCGGACTGCTGTCCCGACGTACCCATTTGTGTCATCAGCAATTTTGTCTCCGCAATGATGGCCGTGGCTTGGCTCTTACGGTGCCCTATCTTCTACCCCTTTCAGTTACATCAATAACTGTCATTATATCTAACGCTTACACATAATAATCGGTGTATATAGTAAAGAATACATAAATTTACTTTATTATATATAAGGAATACATACCGAGAATACATAAATATGCAATACTTGAAAAGTGCACTGCAGAGCTAGGAAGCATCCTGTGGTTACATTCAACTCCTTGTGTGGCTGCCTTTTTCCTAGAGTTCCGAAGGTGTTTCTTTTCCTCTTGCTCGAATTCCCTTATGAAAAAATGCTTTTTGTTTTCTACAGCCCATGCACCCCCAGTGGAAAACACGAGCCCTTTCCCGCTTCATTTCCCAGTTTCCCCAGCGCCTCCGGCCCCACCTGCTCTGGGCTGGAGGCGCTCTGCCTGCATTTTCGGACAGATCCTCTCCTTAGTTTATTTGCTTAAAACTGTTTGTGGCAAAATATACATAAAGTTTACCATCTTAACTCTTTGCAAGCGTACAGTCCAGTAATGCTACCTTCACGCTGTTGTACAATCTAACTCCTTCCCTCTCGCAAAACGGGAACTGTCCCCACCCACCCCGCCGCCCCCAGCCCCGGCAACCACTTTTCTGTTTTTATTACTTTGACTACCTAGTGTGGTTTTGAGTTGCATTTCCCTAATGACTAGTGACATGGAGCATCTTTCCACATGCTTGTTAGACATTCATAGATCTTTTTGGAGCCTACAGTCCCTCTTTCATCCTATCTCCATTATTCTTCATATAAAACTTCTTCGTGTCACGGTGCCATCTCTATCAAGCCGACTGTCACAGCAGAGAGGAGGAGCTTACAGGCTAAGGGGAAAGAACCACACGTGCCAACCCCGCGCAACCACCACCGTGTGACCATGGCGCCCTGCGAGAGCACCGGCTCCGCCACCCTGCCCTCCCCGCTCTCCCTTCCTGTTACGCCCTCGACCTGCTTCCCAAGTATCTTCTCAAGGAAAGGTGTGCAGGAGGGTGATTTTTGGATTTCTTTCAGACCATACCCATCTAAAAATCGTTAAGGCTACCCTTTGGTTTCACGAATGACTTGGCTGAATATAGACTTCTGGGCTGAAAGTTGTCTTCGAAGGCACCGTGCCACTGCACCCACTCCAGAGAAGTCTGATGTCACTGTGCTTTTCAGCCCTTTCTAGGGGATTTTCCCGAGCCACTCCTCAGCCCTAGCATTCTGAAATTCCCTCACGATGTCCACGCGTCTTTCTGCTCCACTCTCCGAGCCTCGCGTTTGGCTGACGCTTTCAATACAGAAACATCTCCTTCCATTGTTTTCTTGAAAACATCTTGTTTTCTAAATGACAACATATTGAAGCTCTTGGATCGATAATCTCCAACTTATCTTTTATGTTTCCTCCCGTCTTGTTACAACTGCAGTTCTCAGCTTTCTGGGTGTTTGGCTCAATTGCTTTTCCAATCCTCTGATGGAGTTTCTAATTCTATGATGTTTAAAATTGTTAATAACTTTATTCTCTGGTTGCTCTTTTTATATAACACTCTTCCTGTTTTGTGAATGTAAAAGCATCCATCCCTATCCCAGCTGAAGATATTAATGAGGGTTTTTCTGAAGTGCCTCCAAATGGCCTGTACTTTCTGTGTTTCCTTCCTGGGCACTTCTTCCCTGTGGCCTCTCTTTAGTATGAGAGGCTTTCCTCAGCTGCCTGGTAACCTCTGGTTGCCCACCCAAGCTTAAAGGCGAGGCGCCAAACCCCACCGAACGTCGTGGGGGCGGGCTGGGCGGGCTTCGTGGTGGGCTTTGCTCTGGGGACGCGGGGAGGGGGCTGGCTGCCGCGGTGGCGGGCAGCCCCCACACCAGCCCTGCAGCTTCGCCCCAATCGCAGGGCGCCGCGTCCGCAGCATCGGCCGCGGCCCTGTGTCTGGCCCAGAGCTCCCGTCCTGCCTCCTCTCTCCACTGCGCCCATCCTTCACCTTCATGAAACCCGTGTCCCGACGTCCCTTTTCTAGGCCACCTTCGTCGGTTCCTTTCCTAGAAAGCCTCCACCTGGGACGGGCGTGGACACTCACTAACGCGAGCATCCAGGAACTACATGAGGGAGTCACCAGCAACAAAGAGGGGTTGATTCTTAGCAGGTATTTTCTGAACAATGGCATTTTAAGTGCTGGTTTCAGGAGTGAACACGGCAGCATCACGGGCTTTCAAGGGTGTTCATACAAACAGCGAGTCCCATCACCGCTGTTCTAAAGGCGAGATGTGCAAAGCGCAGCGAGAGCGTGGGAGACGGGACAGCTCAGTCTACCTGGGCGGTGCCCCCCTGGCTCGCACGACCTTTCCCTTATAGTTGGGGGCAGGGGGGGCGTAAACCTTGGCTTTCAGAAACACTACGTGCCTTTCCTGTCCTCTGGGCTGTAAGTGCCTTGGTGGCAGGACTGCCTTGTGCCTCTGTGGCCCCAAGAAAAGCCTGTCATCCTCCAGGACATTTCCGGCCCATAATCTCAGATCAAATTTATACTGGAGAAAATCTGTCAGTATACTTTGTTTCCTAGGGAAACTTTATTTTTCTGAAATGATCAAGCAATATTCAGTAAATTTCTCTACCTCTCAGGGCTAGTAGGATTATAAACTTAGCCCTGGCTGGCGTGGCTCAGTGGATTGAGTGGCGGCCTTCGAAGCAAAGAGTCACCACTTCGATTCCCAGTAGGGGGCGCTTGAGAGGCAACCACACACTGACGTTTCTCTCTCTCCCTTCCCCTCTCTCTAAAAATGAAATATAGAACCTTGAAAAAAGGTCACAAACTTAGATTTGGAAAGTTTCTTGACCCAGTGGAGGAGGAAAAAATGTATCTATCAACTATATATTTTTTTTCTATGT